TTTTAACTATCATAACTGCACATTAACCATTTGCTCTGATTCTCTTTGCAGACACAGTCAGATGTTGTGCTGGTATTATAWGTGAAAGATGTCAGCTATTTAACTGGGACCATGTTGCACAGCCCCCTGCTGCATTTCTGTGGCCAGAGGAAGCTGAATTACAATGGAATTTGTGGGACTGTTCAGCTGAACCARACCTGTTGGTTGCCTGTGCTTTACATGCTGCCCACCAGCAGAATGGCTGTGCACCATGCCAATATTATGGGATGATCCCTGCATCCCAATGAGACAGGCTGCAACACAACTTGAAGTGTGATTTTCGTGCATGTGGGTTGTACCCACCCAGCAGAATGGAGTGCTAGGTACCAGGCTAGCTCCTGGGAATGCTGTGGTGAGGGCTATCCACAAGCAGATTATATTTCRCTCTCCAGCATCAGGATATTGCTCTTCTCCCAGAGCCAGGGTGTTAGGAGTCAGCTCTGATGTGCCTGCTTGGCACTACAGGTACCCTCGTGCTGGATAGACATAACCACAGAGGCTAAAGCCCAGATCCATGGAGGTATTTATGCTTTTAACTCTCACTGAAATGAGTAGGAGTTAAAAGCCTAAATACCTTTGGGGATTTGGGCCTAAGTGGCTTACAGAAAGCCTGTGGCACAGCAGAGGCTCAGAGATTTTGACTCAGAGGCCAGTGCCTCCGATATGAAATCATTCTTCTTCTCTACATCTGGTAGCAGTTTGCATTCACATTTCCCAGCTCAGGCCATCTAAAATATGCCCATGCTTAGGACAGGAGGTGAAGAATAATTTAGGTAATTGAAACTACAGCAGGAATGTGGTTCTGTCAGAGGGCTGTTGCCTGACCTGGAATTTAACCAGACAAGTAGGGATTGGGGAAACTGCGCCAGCTCCCGCCTTTCAGGTGCACAGAAGGCAGTCAGTTTCTCTGGAAGAAGGGGTATAAATAATTGAGCTTATGTGTCTGTTGAAAAGGAAGCCATATTGCTGGGAATGAAAGCAGGAGACGTGCCAAACACTTGCCTTGTTATCCACATGACTGTTTATCAGTTATAACTAGAGCTGAGCCAGTAATTCTTAATGGGTAATTCATATGATGAATATCTCCCCCTTACACTATGTGTGAATGGTGTATGAACCAGCCATTACTTTCAAATATTTATTTACTAGTCACAATTATTTGTTTAATACTGTGAATAATTCATGGTTTGTGTAATGTTTTCAGGCAGTTCTCTGAAAGTAGCCAATACCCAGGCTATTTTCATTGGGCAGGGAAGTAAATGTCGCCTTTTTCTGATTACGCCAGTGTTAACTGAGGATAACTTGAAGTCAAAAGGCTGGATCCCTCACTGATGTAATTTGGCATAACTCCATTTTTTTCCCATTGATTTCAAATGACCAGTGTTAATTCACACCAACTTACTTGATGGCCCTGAAAAGAAGAATTGTATGAAAGAAGAATGACTCCCACACCATATTGTCCCGGGACTGGCTAAATGTACTGCGTTTCACAGTCACATCTTTTCATTAACCTTCTCATATGTATAAATTCAAAATTCACATTTGAAAATATAGTTTTGTGTTAATATCTCAGTTGTCTACTATGGAGTAGCCTTGCAGCGAATTGTGCTTGTTTGATTGTACTCACAAAGTGACGCTTTTTGCAGAAGTAGTCCAAGCTCAGTTTTTTTTTTGCAGGGCAGGGGGRAAATTGTTTTGAGCACAAATCTGTGGCTTGTGTCGAGGTTAACCTGAAAAACTTCCTTGTTCAGTGTGCTGGACTTTTCAGTTCCAGAATTACTTTTACCATTACAAAATCTTCCCTTATATAAGTCTCACTGACGTCAGTGGAGCTTTGCCACTTGTATTTGCTTATCAGATTTCCAATCCTTAAAGCTATTTTAGAAGACGTTTTTAACCACCTTTTCTGTGGTACCCAGCTAATGGCGGGAAAAGTAGAGCAAGGGCTTGTGTTGGATTGTGTCGCTCCAATTCTCACACCAGTTGGCTGTGGTGTCCACAAGGGAGTATGTCAGAAGGATGGGGAAGACTTTGTGCCTTTTCTGTCTCCTGCACTGTCCCTCTCTGTTCCAGTTCCCTTCATTACAATAGCAAATTATATGTAGAAATACCATGAGAGAACCAGGTAGGAATKAAAAGACTTGTTCCCTAAAATCAGATTTCTAGCTAGTTTCTGTTCCAGATTTCCAGAGCAGCACACCAGGTTTGCAGTCCACATTGGTCCAAATTTCCCAGYGAAATCTCTAAACATCTGTGTTTTTCTTTGATATTTCTTGTCTAGCTGTACAGCAAAAATTGCAAATGCTGCCACTCAGATTGTCACCATGATGTGGCCGTGGTCTTGGCTGCAGGATCTTTATATTTACAGCAAAGGGATTGTTAACAGCACTTCACAGGAAAAAGTTTTGTGCTTTTCTTTCTTCTCTTTTGTTCTCACTTTTTGGTATTTCCTCTCCACTGATGCTATGTCTCCTAGAAATACAAAAGCAGAAAGAAAAAAAAAAGCATTTCAGAAAGATCTGTTGCTTTTCTTGCTGGAATAGCACAACCAATTTGAATGCTAAAGAATCTAGTCAGACTAAATGTCCAGGTGCACGTCATTGCTCACTACGCGTAATTTACTAATGAGTGGATCCAGACAAACAAACTGAGGATCCAGCATGCCCTCTGGCTGCCTATAAAAATGAGGAAAGATAATGAAGTGGTGTGAATCAGGGCCTTTCTGCAGCAGTGAGGCATGAAAAAACTGGAACACAACAGCTTTTGCTGTTAGGTACCAAGGACAATCTCAGCAGTTCTGTACCCAACCACAGGGGCAAAGCCATTTCACAAACATTGAAAAATTTACACAGTTGGCTGTTTAACAGTTTTCATGTCCCAGATTTCATGTTTCTGGATGTTCCCAGGAATTTATGAAATTTGTATATGTTTGGGTTTTGACCATGCAAAGGTAAGCGTGACTCTCAGAAAGGCACAGATCCTGACCTTTCTTTAATTACAAGCAAATGYAGGGGTTGATGGATATTGCCGTACTGTTGGTCTCTTCTGTTGAGTGAACATTACTGAATGGCCTTCTGAAAAACAGTGGGGTCTTTGTACCACAGCCTGCAGCTCACCAGGAACACACCTGACTACACCAAGCTCTTTTAAAGCAGAGCTCTGCGCAGTGTCAAAGGAAAATGTTTTATTGTAAGTGTAGGGAAGAGCAGATACATAGAAGAAAGGTCAAAGAAGAGAGAGAACCAATTGACCTGCTAAAACAGAGCATCTTTGGGGATTCTTAGCAGAAAACCTCTTTGTCTTCCAACCACTGTGATGGTGCARCCTTCAGTCAGAAAGGACTGCTGKGACCTGAAAGATATGGTACCTTTTTGTACAAAGTCCTTCCAGCCAGTTCAGAGGCAGTGGTTCTTTAGCCGWGTACTGTCATTACAGCCCTGTCCTGGGCTGTGATTTGGGGCTCAGCCCTGAAAACACTTGGTTTCCCATTTCTATTTGTTCATTTCTATTTGTATGACTCCTGCTTCTCAAGCACAGTCCTCAGAGCTGCGGGATTGTCACATTGTCCCTGTTGGCACAAGCAGTACTGGAGCTGGAGAGCACACCCAGGCCGCACAGGGGTGCTGGCTGCCCACATAGTGGTGCAGCCACAGCMTGTGCCACTGGCTGGGGACACAGTGTCCACCCCTGTAGAGCTGTAGAATTGTTATTCTGGGCTGTTTCAGCAAGACAGACACTTCCTAAGTGACAGAGAGCACCTAAGTTGTCTGTGCTCGGCATGGAGATGCCTCTAAAGTGGATGTTGGCATTAGCATTTTATTCGAGAAAAGTGTGCTTCTGAAATGTCTCCCAGTGATCCCCGCAGAACTGCACATTTATGTCACAGAGCACTCATGGAGGACATCAACAGGATTCCTGTGGAATGGTTTCAGGGCTGCACCCGGCATGGGCCAGCTCGTGCTGGTTACTGCTGCTGTTAGGCTGCAGCTTTCTGAAGGAAAACATGGAAATGCCCTGTGTGGACGTCAGGAACTCGGCACCAACCATTTCTCTCTGTGGATCCATCTTGCTCTTGTTTTGCRTTGCTTGCTGTTACAGATGTGGTCAGAGATGCTGCAAGTCCCACCCCACCCCAGTACACTGACCTTCCCCTCTGCTGGGCCGTGCTGTTCAGGCCATTTCCAATATGTAGGACTTGGGAAATCAGGTTTCCTTTGGTGAGACTGTCCATCTGCTGGCAGTGATTTCTTTATTCACATATACTTGGTGAGTAGGGACTGGCAGGTCAGATAAGGCAGCACAAACCCCAGACCTCATGTACAACTGCAAAGCTATGAGGTGTGTAAGGGGCAAAGGGTGAATTTATTTCTCTCCCCTTGAATAGTATCTGATCACATCTCATGATAGTCCCCTTCCCCTCACTTGCACTCATATAATTACCAGCCCTTGCTCTTTTGTGCTGCCTCTGGAGGCTGGCACTGTTGAAGCATGCAGTGCTTCCCTATGGACCCTCTGGCGGAAAGATAGGAAGAAACACTGAAATTAAATTTAGGTGGGGTAGCAATGATAATTATGTTGGATCATAACTTCCACTGATCTAATTAATGCCACCTAAGTTGTAGCTTGTGCAACAGCCTTGATTTATTGGTAATATCCACAGTTGGCAGAATGATGTTTTTGCAGAGGGCTCTGATACGTGGTGTGATAGAAATTGGATTTCATKAACATCATGTGGTATAGTTACAGTCAGAAAGGTGTCTGTTTGTGATGTTCTTTAGAGACACTGGAAATTGGGGATCCAGATTCAAATAAACTGTCTGACCCAATTAATTTGTTTCCARCCCAAATCCTTTTGCACTGCTCTTAAAACAGCATTTTTCTACTGAATGTGGCAAAACAAGCTCTAGGTGTTTCCAGCATTAAGTGACAGTAAAAGATGACTCTCACCTAAGTTCCAGTTTATGTATTTGTTTTATTACTCAGGATATGTCTGGATTTTACAGCTGAGTATTTTAGGAATTTAGTTACAAGTTGAAACTGCTTTATAATGCATGGCTATAAAGATCAAAGGTTGCAAAACCAACCTTGGAGAGCCAGGTCCTGCTCTTCCAAAGCTCATCAATCATGACTTAGTTCTTGCCMATCTCCCATGATTTTGCACCATGTACTGTCATTTGGACAAATGTTTATCCATAGYGTTAGATCAGAGGCTCCAACAACTCTTAGGCTAAGTATTGCCATCAGTTCCTGACAGCACTTTCCTGCTTTTCATTTACCTGGTATSTCTTTTTCCTCCTCTGATTTCTTTCTTTATCTCAAAGTTGATAATTTTAGGTATGTGCCTTCTGGTAGTGGCACACTGGGAATTCTCTGTTCTTCCAGCTGGRAAAAAATCAAGATCAATATAAGATCAAGACAAAGATMTTCCTTGGTTCCCTCTGGCTATTTGCTGGAGACCGTTATCATTTGTACTTACTGAAGTTCTGCGATGCTSTGCCAGCCCATGAAGAAGAAATAAGGCCGAGGAAACCAAAATGAAGGTTTTATCAGTGAGTCTGACCATAGGTTTCTATCACACAGGTCACTGATGGAAGAGCTGAGGTGAACCAGACTCATTTTGCACCATTTGTGCAACTTGACACCCTGGTGTCAGTCTGTGCTGAGGACTGGACAAGTCACATCAGTTTTGGTTTCCCATCCTTGCTTTTCTTTCAGTTGTGAACTCCTTGAGTATGAGCCAGTCTTTTACACATTGGGGCACCCACAGTCTCAGGAGGCTTCTTTCACTGTAGTAGAAAACATTATCTTTTTTGCAATTTATCATGCCAACTTTGCCTGGGCAAACTGGAATGTTTATCRTAAGTTATCCTATGAAAGATTCCTTGATGAGAGGTATAGGAACAACTGGTGAGCACTGGGATTAATTAGTTCTGGCCCCATCTGAAAATTCTAGTTTAGGTCTTCCTAAATTAATTTATCCCCAAGAGGTGAATTCTGCCAAAACTTAAAAAAATTACTTCTGTCTCTAATAAAATATATTGTGCTATCTGAACCCAAGTATTTAATTTATTATTTTTTTTAAAACTTAAATTTTTTCAAGAAAGTGATTTTAAAAGTAAAGCAGCTTCTTAGATTAAAAAAAAATCAGAATTTCCCTAGTGATATCTCTATTAAATATTTAAATAAAAATGAGCATCTGTATATTAAATCTAACATAACAGCTGTTAATTTGGTTTTAGTTTTGCCTACTTTGGTCATAGAGTTTGAGAAAGMTGGTGGGATAAAATGCATTTTGATATTTTTGAAACTTAAAAGTTTTCCCTACTTCTGTTCCTGAATGAACTTTTTTTTGTGGAACCCCAAGAAGTTGACTGAGTTTATATATAGTCAGTTGTCATTTAAGTTATAGGGTTAGAAATGAGAATCAATCAGAATGTCTGTTCAAATAACTCATTTGTTTCCTTTCTGAAATGTTTGCTTCTGCAGATMTAGCCTAGTTTTCTCACCCCATGCTGCCCATTGCTCCCAACGATTACTAGGAAGAGTAACCAGAAATGTAATTTGCTTGTTATTGTGGCTGTCACTGTTGTGGCTGGAGGGTCCGAAACACAGCTGACAGTGAAAAGCCAGATTTTCAGAAGTGATTGCTGAGTCTAAGTACTTTTTTTTTTTACTGTCTCGTCTTTGGATATGTGAGAAAAGCTTAAAGGATTGAGCCTTAATTTTTGAAGAAGCCTGAGAAAAGAGTCTCTGGCAGAACTGCTTCCTGTTCTACTTTGTGCCTTTGAGGGTGCAAGAAAGTTGCATCAAAAGGGAAAGCAGCAAAAAAAACAAACAAACAAACCCAAAACAGGGAAGCACAGTTTCATTATCATCTGAAGAAGCATTTTTATGCAAATGCATGTAAYAGTTAAAATAAAACTCATGTTATGTTGCCTTTGACTTTTGTAACTGCTGGGGTGTGACAGSATTCAAACTTTTCATGGCATGCCAAAAATATTTCTTAACATAAAGTTACTTTGCCTAGCTAATGTAATTATGTCCATTACTCAGAGGGATTCCATCTTGTCCTGGACTTTGTCTTATTCCCGTATTTACTGCTAGTGGGAGATGGGGCTGGGATTGATGCCGGCCTTCTGGTGTTTTTTGCTGCTATTGCTCACCCCTTGAAACACTGCCAGTGGTTTCATGGGAAGGAAGACAGGAATCTGGCTTGCTTGAGGGTTGGGAATCACAGGAGTTTCTGAACTGGGGTAGAGCTGGAGGAAGAGGGAGGATTTGGGCTGGTGGCTGCTGCAGATCTGAGGCAGAGACTGGGCAAGTTGTGCTGGGTGAATCCCCTCTGGACCCATAAGCTGGAAGAATCCAGAACCCACTGGCTGGGGGACTAGTCTGTGTAGGTTTGTGCAGCTCCTCAGGAATGGCAGTCATGGCAGGGTCTGGGATTGGTGCAGGGATAAGCCTTGGCACATTTGGCAGCAGTGGGACCCTCTGCTTGGATTTTCACCTAAGGCCAGCTGGGATTTGCATTAGAATTTGGCAACTTGGCTGATTTCATTGAGGATGAGGTCGTGTAGCATTGGATGGGAATTTCAAAAACACTCAGTTAAGCGTCCTTTAACCTCCAAGAGAGCAAAGTTGTTTCTCCCCAGGGTGCTTATCACTTCTGAGGGAACCCTTTTTCCATCCTTTTGAGGCAGAGCCCAGATGTTTGGGTCACACATCCCCCATGAGCACAGGAGCACGTGGATGCACCGCTCCCCGCCTGCCTGGGCAGGGGTATGGGCAGCTGCAGAGACCCAGGGCCTCGAGTTGATTTGATCTGTACCTGCCTCTGTAACCATGCCTGGCTTCCTCTGACCCAAATGACCTAACTCAGCTGGAATTTCCTTCCTCATAYTCCTGCCCTTACATCTCTGCACTCACCTGCTGTATTTAACTGGCTGCATTGGAGGGGTGGGGAAACCGTGTGCTAATGCTGAGCCCACCTCTGCCCTTCTCCCCGCCTGGCTCAGAGACACACTGTGTAAATGGAATTTTTAACATCAAAAGTTTCAATTACAGCAGGAAATGTCAGGCCGACAGAGTGCGACTGTTCCAGGTTTCCCATAAGGAATACTCCCACCCCTACTATTTACCCATATGGAAAAAACAACCTCCGATGGTATTTTTTTAAGTTCTCAGGTAAACGGAGCTGAATGGTATCATCACATACAYGGCAGGCTTTCTGCAGGAGATGAAAAAGTGTAAATCATAGCACAGGGTCCAGAGCCTTTACAGAGCCTTTTTCATGAAACAAAATCCTAGGATATGGCCTAAATGGGATAGGGGCTGTTGGAAAGACAGCTTAAATCCCAGCAAGTCAGCAGTCTCAGGGAAAGAGGAGCAGCATGGAAACGTTGATCTCAGAGCAGGAGATCCTCCAGAAGGCAGCAAACATCACGCTGGAGAAGGTTGGTTATGGGAGAGCATTGCTGGGGACCTTCCAGGAGACACAAGGGGGTCAGAGCAATGTCCACCAGAGCTGTGCACCTTCCAGAAGAGCCTGGCTCTGTCTTCCTGGTGCTGTCTCAGGAATAAGGTCTCCCATTCATCTTTTCTTCTGGAGGCTGAACAAGTCTAATTCTCTCATCCTGCCCTTAAACACAGTGAATTCCAGCTCCTGATATCTTGGATGCTTTCTCCTCAGTTCATCCAGAGAATCTATTGCAGGTCACTAGACTCGGCTTTTATTGGAAGAAATGTAAGGCTTTTACTGTGGCCTCAGAGATCCCCACTGTTTTTGGTCTTGCTCCATAGTACAGAAAATAGGCTGCTGGGATGGGTGATGGAGCCATCTAATTCCCTGCACTCCTGGAGGGACTCCATCATTTGCCTCCAGCAGGAACAGGTCATGCTTTTAATGACAGTGTTCAACCCGTGGGATCATCTTGGACATACTGGTTCCTGGAATCACAACTGGGGCTTCCAAAAAAGCCTGGAGAGCTTCAGTGGTCAAATTAAATCAGTGATTATGGTAAGGAATTTGGCACTTAAGTCACCTGGCTCTTCAGGCTAATTCAGTGTGTYCCAAAAGCAGGTTCAGAGTACTGCCCAGCAGAAAGTTGTTGTTGAGTGTTCAGAAGTGTTTGAGCTCTCCAGATGGCTTAGCAAACTGCTTCCCAATGGGAAGTGTCTGTCTTCATGCATGCTTAGTGTTCAGATTGGCACTTATTCATGGGAAGGAAATTTTGGGAGAAGTCAATTGGTAATGTCACGTGAAACCTCRTGTTTCTCTGCAGGACAGCACAAAGTCAGTATAATGCTCTGTATTCTGCAGCCATGATGGTATAGTGCTTCTGGTTAGGGCGAGTGGGAACACWAGAATTTAATTTTATAGAAAATGGTGAGGTTTTGAATGTGCTTGTATTCCATAGGAAGATGAAAAATTTCTTGAAATGAAAATGAAATGGATGGAGAACTTTTTAAAAACAGCTTTTAAGTTTGTTRCTTAAGAAATTCACCTGGGCAGAGGGAGCTGAGCATTGAACTTGCTGCCCTTGATCAAAGAACAGGARTTTTTGCCTACACCCTGTCAGTGAGCCTGGGTGGCAGTGAGGGCTCTGTCCTCACCAGGACTCAGGGATGTTTTGGGATGGGTTGCAGAACTACCAGGGGAGATGAAAAGGAAGTAGATCCAGCCATATGTTCACCCATGGGTACCATCCTTGGCAACTCAGCTCAGCTCTGACCCACGTGACACTGGGAGCATCCTCTAATAAACAGAGGAGCAGGATGAAGGATGTGAGATAGGGTGGGAGAAGGCATCCTCTGAAATCTTTATCTTCAAATACAAGTTTAATGGATGTCAAGGGTGACTTGTTTGTCTTCTCTTATTTGAAGAAGCTGATTAGCTATGGGAAAAAATGTGGTGCTCTTCCCCATGATGTAAATCTGTAGAGATTTAAATTAATGGGAGAAATTTGCAGCTTGTGTAAACAGGCATAGCTTTGTGGAGTCACAACAAATTATATCAGCTGGGGACATAGCTCATCATTTGTAATGTTTTCATTCTTCCATATAAGAGCAGACAAGAAAATGGGGGATGTAAGGGAGAAAATGAAGGGAAAAACACAGCATGGGGTTTACAAAGTCTTGGCCATCACTTTTCTCAGCCTCTGCATGGAAAACATCTGCATGTTACGGACCCCTTTGATGTCTGCCTTRCAAACTCTGGGTTCTCCTACCCTCTGAATGGCACATTCACAGGGCACTGCTTCCCTGATGGCAGCTGCCCTTGCTGGGAACAAGCAAGCAGAGTATTGCTGAGAGCAGCTGAACATACACCACCTGCTGATACCAGTGAGTTCATTCTGCTGGTCTGTAAATATAAAATACAGAAAACGTCACAATTATTGTTCCTTTGGAGATATTAAAGTTTAGAAGCTGCCTCTAATGACTGATGTTTAGTAGTAGAGCGTGATCTTTCCATGGAAAGTTGATGGCTACTACAAGATAAGCCTTGTGTGGGTAAAATAAATAACAACTTTCTCTTAGGAGCTAAATCAAGATGTTTGGTCATACATTAGAACTGCACAGCTTTCTAATTTCAGAGATTTGCTGGGTGAAACACTGACTGCAGGAGACCAGCAGACATGTTTGCAAAGGTCCCTTTTGGGCTTTATGCCTCCCTGTAGAAACCTGGCTGACCAGTTCTGTGCCAAGCCTTTGTGCTGCTGCAGCACCTCTTGTGCACATGGTGGTCTTCTCTTGTAGCAGGAACAGCAGAGGGTACCCTGTTCTAGGTTCATCCATAAAATGCAGCTCAGCACAAAGCAAAATAGGAGGGCAGGAAGTAAAGAATGCACACAAGACCAGTCGTGTGCGCAAAACAAGTGTGCTTTTCTTTGGTTGCAGCCACTCAGCATCTGAGGACTTACCTGGGATGGAATTCCTCAGGATGTAGGAGGACAGTGACAGCTGATGAGAAGCAAAATGGCCTTTGCAGCTGCCTGGGACTGATACTGATCTCATCCTAAGGGAGTCATCTGCTGTAGGCCAGGTGATTTTCTTCCCAGAAGTGCCTACTCACTCCATTAACTCTGGTGGGCGGTGAATGTGGCTGAGCAGGTGTAGATACCAGCATTGCTGGGATCTGGGTTAGAAAAATACCACATCCTTTGCTGCTAGGCAAGTGGTGGTGAGGKTGGCTCCTAGGGAAAAACAGCAGGTCGGTGAGCAAAGGGTCAGTCAGACAAACCTGCCTGAAGGCCTCTGACCTCCCTCCAGCCCAGCAAGCAACAGAGTGGTCCCTTTGGGAAACTGGCCCTGAAATAATCAGTTTTCTTTCACGAGCTGCCAAGCCAGGCAAGGTGTGACTTTGTTTCTAGGTTGTCTTTGGAGGCAGTTGTGTTAGAAAAAGCAAAGACAGCATTTTGTGGAAGTGGCCAGCACTGGACAATTTGTGAAAAGTCCTGTTTGCTGACCCTGGCCAAACCCAATCTCTCAGTGGTGGCAAACTCAGTGAYGACATCAATGATGATGTGCATTAGGCGTCAGTAAAGCAACAGAGCATGTTGGATGGACTTGCCCTTGAGGAAGAATGCTCTCTTTTGAGCTGCTCTGCAGGTCCTTTGCCCTCCATGTGTGGATCTGTGCTCTGTGYCTCTTCCACACACTGACACAATCASRGGAAACTCCACATTGGGACAGGAGCAATACATGTGGTACTGGATGCATCACAGAGATAAGGGCTCTGGACTAATTGTGGGGGAAAATACCCTGTCCTGCTCCTACCTCATTGTTTAATTTTGTGTTACATAGCAGGAGAGGACGGTTCTGTGATTTATCCTCCTCAGAGATCAATGAGTTCTCTCTATGGCGTTACTTGCCATCCCAATATGAGTCATTTAGAGAGTTCAATTGGTAATTTATGAAACAAATTAGCATTATATTAAAGGCCTGATACAGTGATGTACTTCTGAAGTGATCAGATGAAGGACTTGCAATGCAAATTATTGTATCTTAAAGGCTAATAATAAAGCAAACTGCTTCATTCAAAAGAAAATATTATGTCTGAGGTTACCATCCTCTGCCAGGAATGTGGCACTGGAGCATGACTAGCCCTGCACAGTGCCAGTGAGAAAAGGAGAATTTTTTTTTTTTTTTTTTTTATGGGAATGGCAAAAGCTTGTAGGCTGCAATTAGGGATGCAGGAGTTGAGGTCGCTATTTTTGTGTACCTGTGATATTCTGCAGAAGTCTTAAGGCTGCACTTGGACTGCAGTTGGAYCAGAGGATTCCAGAGCTTGTCATTGTGGCTGGGCTGGCTTTAAATTCCAGATTTTGGATGCCAGGTGCACTTATATCATCACACAAAGGTACTCATGCTGTTCAGTGGATATGTCCACTGCTCTTGGTGGATGCTCCYACCACGAGCTCTCCTCAGCCTGAGTTGGGAGAGGGACAATGAAAATACAGGAGGGGAGGAGAGAAGAGAGGTGCAGTTGATGCCTCAGTACATTTTGCCAAAGCTTKCCTTCCTTCAGGTTGCCTGATTTAGTCATGGGTGCAGTCTGCTGTGCATTCCAATTGGAGACAGACTTCCAAAAAGGTCTCGAGTTCAGCTCTTCCTCAGTGCAATATCAAGACTTCGGGCCAAGCAGCAGCCAGGCTAGCAGCCAGAAATATGGACAAAAGGCAGGTAAGTCACAGGGCTAGACACACTTGAACTGTTTTGGATCCCGCTCACTAYACGGTGATGTGGAAATAGTCTTGGATTATATTTTAAAACTATTTAGCCCTGACCCACATCGCAGTCAATGTGATGTTGTCAGTGACTTAAATGGGCTCTGGAACAGGCCTGCAATGTTACCAGTGCCTTCAAATACTTCCTTCACCTGTAGGATGAAAGTCCTTCTCCCGAGTCAATGGGCCTCCTTACTTCTTCCTCCCCTCTCAGTTTCCATGGGCCCCTAGCATGGGAAACTCAGCCTTATTCATCTTTGTATTTCCATGTCTCTGAATCAGGCAGGTTCTGGGTATGTTCCACATAGAAGCCTGTTATCTTTTCAAATGGCAAAAAAGAGGGGATTTTTCCATAGTCACATAGTTTTTCCACAGAAATGTATTCATGAGAGTTAAACTTGCCCAAACTATGTTAATGTATGTGGTTGGCTTCTGTGCCAATTTTCATTGTGAATAAGACGCAAAATAAAAGGGCTCTTGTGTCTCCCTTTCCTCCTCCTTGAATCCCTCCCATAATTTTTGAGTTCATAARCCCATTTTGTATGTGAATCAGATCAGGAGAGGAAAGGCAGGGGGATTACTTTTCCTTTAAAGCTGTGCCTTTGCTTTAAGCTACTGATAGACACATGGAAGTTACAACTGAAACAAGGGGTTGATACAATCAGGCTGGGTCTCATAGTTGGTGTAAATTGCGATAAACTCCATTTGTCCTGAGCAAAACTTCCTGATTTACACCAAAGGAGGACCCAGCCTTAGCTCTTTAGCTCTGTCCATTGCTGCCTTGTTATTCCAAGGTATTTTCAATCTGACAAGAGAGATGGTGTGTCTTTTTAACACAGATGCTCGACTTGAGCTTGAGACKGTCCTTCCAGAGCATGCATGGTGGGTTAGTAGAGCACACACAACACCTGAGCTGAGTTCAGGCATCCCTGTAGCCAGATGGCTATGAAACATTCATAATACAAGCTGTAGCTATTATGAGCCATTTCTCTTTGGTGCATGTCTTGACAAGCTGCTGTTATTAAGTTTCAGTGTATTTCTGTTAATGTTACCTACCTATTTTCATTCCTATGTGCTGTCACACGGAGCTGGTTGGCGTGGTCTTGGGAACTGGGCTTCAAGGCTCCTCCCTGTGAAAGTTGCCAGCTCATTTATTTGTTTCTTTCCAGTGGTTCAAACTGGTGCGTTATTCAGAAACTTCTGAAAGAGCGGGGTTGGGTAAACCTCTGATTCAGTTCGTTTGAAAGCACCCTTGAAGTCCTCCTCCACATCTTGCCCGCCTGTGTCTCCGAAATAGGCTTGACAAGGCTAATTTGGAGCCTGTTCCAGAGAAATCGTAGGYGCTGCTGTTGGAAAGGTCCCTCAGCTTCAAGGTGTCTGTCCTCACTTGCAGAGCTGATATACTTCTGGTTTGGGCCCTGACTCTYCCTGGTTTCTTTTTTTACATGACAGTAGTCACGTTGCATCCAAAAAAGTGTAATCTTGAGACTGGCTTCAGATTTTAGTACACAGAGCTGGGTGAATGTTGCCTTCTGGTTTTTGCATTAGAAGCACTCAGCTCTTATTCATAGAGGATAAAAACTGACTTTAAATCAAGGATGAGGTCCTTAGGCATGAAAATTATTTTAGTGGAAAGTCACTTCATGTAGCTCTACTCGCTATAAAATTGTAGGARTTGGCCATTCTGGAGAAATCAGGCAACATCTGGTATTTGAAGGAATTATTCAAATACAAGGAGAGCCTTTTGTTTATGCRCAGCTGAATATGTAGCAGACAGACCTCAAGTGTTTTGCCACAGTGGTGTGTGCAAGACCCTGACAGGGTGGATGAGACACAAATAAGATCTCCTCTGACAGATCTTGGTGACTCTCARCTGCTGCTTTCTGGGGAGGAAGAGAGAGGAGTGAATGCATAGCAGTTGTTTKGTAATGGGTAGCCTGACAAATTTCCATCCCAGATCTGATGTGYTCAGATGGACCTGTGTTCTCCTTTCCAAGCCTGTGAAGAGAGAAAAAATGTCTGGCAGGGACCAAATAAATTATTTCAGAAACTCTCTGCAAGTGCCTTTYGCCATGGTACTTGACTACCCAGCCCTGCAGACTTCCTTCCTTTGGCCCCAGCTCTAATCTCCAGTGTTCCTGTTCTTTCCTGGGAAGGGGCCTTCTTTCCCATCTCAGATGGTGATACCGTGGTCAGCCAGGTATTCATCTAAAGAAATCAGTATCTCAGGCTCTGACACAGACTCTGAGCTGCAACCAGCTCACCTGTCCACCTCAGCATGTTCAGGAACTGTGGAGAGGCTTTGTTTACAGTGCGTTTTCCAGCTGCAAGGAGAGAAGGGTTTCCTTTGCAGTCGTATGTAAATTATTGTGGAAATGGAGAGTAGTAATACTCTCATTTTGAGATTGTCATGAATGCTTGGTTTTGAGGCCAACCATTCAGCTCCTGTTATCTCTAGGAATCAAGATGTTTATCTGTCTAAATAATTGCAGTGTGTCTCAGGTATTTGAAGGTGGTTCTTCCTATTTGTGGGAAAAATTAAAAAAAAAAAAAAAGAATCAATCTTTGTTTCCCAAACTATCAAAAGCATGTTAGCCTCAGGCASATCTTTTTATCTGCAAGGAATAAAGCAGATATGTCCAGATCTTCAGCCAGTATAAATCACKTTAATCCTCTTGGCCCATTGTTTTTTCTCATGCTGTATCTCTCAAGTGGGATTTAAGCACCGTTTCAGCACCTTCTTGTTTTCATGTATCTGATGTAAGGCTTAACAGAGCTACCATTAGTCTTGGCTTTTGGAGAGCTTGCACCTGATGCCACCCTGGTCTCCAYGGCCTACAGAGTCCATGGAAGAAGGATGTGACTCTTTTGCCAAGCAAAATAATCTCTTTGAAGGGCCAGTGGAGAAATGTGAGCTTGAAAGGTGAAGGAGAAGGTGGTAGAGCTGAGTTCAGGTGACTCCAGGTGCCAACAACATGCATACATGTACCTCTCAGATCATTGCAAGGCTGGGGCAGCTTTATCTTATGTTTAGGCAAAACTTCACCTAAGGCAGAGGGTGCCCTGGAGGGCTGCTGAAGGTTTAAGACTTCCCAGTTTCCCAGTTGAATTGACTGGTGTTCTGGCCAACTGAAACATGTCTGCAAAAAAATCTGGTTGCCACATGAAATCAGAAWTTTTTTTTCCTCCCAAAAGAAAACCCACAACTTCCACTTGCAGTTGGTTACATTGACCAGAGCACTTAGAGTTGAAAATTATAATGTTCGTAGAGACACAGAGACCCCTCTACCCAGAAGGAAACTTGCCTGAGTCAGTCCTGATCCCTTTGGCAGCTTCCAGCCCCACAGAGTACGTCCATGGGTCCCCCAAGCAGAAACCTCCCTAAAAGCCAGGGCAAATCCTCATGCATCCACAAGCAGTTTCCTTGTGGATGGGGCTATCAAATCAAATCAAATCAAATCAAAGCATGTTGACCCTTCTGGCCAAGAAGGTCAAGCTGCTGCAGTTCTCCCCCACACTTTTTCCTTTTTTTTATTTTAAGGACGTGGTATATTTTGTAAGTTTTGTGTTTATCAAGAAGTTGATTGTGTAAATAAAATTGTGGCCTTGTGTGCCAAATAGCTGGGTTATGATTTCCTGGAGAAGAGCCAAGGCAGTGTGTGGGAGCATGCCAGTGTTAATATGTTCACTTTGCTAAGGAATACAGCATGTGTGGAGCACGGAGGGAGGACACTCTTCCAGCCGCGGTGCTGCTTAACCCTTCCCTGGCCCCACCGTCTCCAAGCCTGTGCCGGGCTTCCCCCAGCAGTGCTGCACAAACACTGGGAGCATTCACCAAGGCTGAGGCTCTCCTGSAATTGCCTGGAGCCTGGCCAGGTCAACACGGGACTTCACAAGGCTCAGGATCCCACCCTGATTCCCCTCCCGTGGCGGGAGCCCGGTGTTTCCTTCAGCAAAGACTTGGTCGCACAGACCTCAAAGGGGCCTCTGAGAGAGACCAGGTCAGGCACGTGCCTGGGGATTCCAGAGCAGGGAGAAGGGCCTTGGGCTAAATGAGAATCAACTCCCTGACTGTAATGACTTTATTCCCTATTTACTACTAAGTGCTATCCAGAGTTTATCCTATTTCTATCCTGCACAGGCAGCCAGAAATTTTCTCTGGTGGCTGTTCATATAGCAGCCAAATCACTGAACAGCTTGGGAGTATTTTCGGCACAGGATGGTGCTTCGTGCCGCTGAAGGCAACAGGATGATTGCTAGCAGGCTTTGGGGACACCAGAATTATGCTCTGGTTGCTTATTTTGTCACTTTTTACCTACAAATCATGCAGTCTCCATCTCAAAGCAGCTTGTATCTCCTTCCACTCATCCTGAGGTCRTTACATTCTGCAAGTATTTAAAACAAATGAATGCAAAAAATGTACCCTCTTGTTTCCACCAAAAAGGAAATAATGAGTCGGCTCCTTCTGCAGACAAAGAAAAAGTCCTAAGGATGCAGGAAAGGACTTCATTTTGCCAAGCAGCAGGGAGCGGAGTTAGCTGTGTTACAGTGGGGAGGGGGTGGGGAGCCTGTGTGCGTGGGGAATTCTTGCAACTCAGACAAAAATAGTGACTTCCATTATTTACCTACCTAAGCCGGAAACCTGCTTGCATTTCAGGCATTTATTGTAATTCCTCACATAGCTGGGGTTGATAAGCCCTGCTAACTAGTCATTGCATGCTGCCTGAAAATGATAGTTAATGTACACCGGCTACCCAAACAACCTTCTTTGTTAACCCTTTCAAACTTGCTGGCTCTGAGGGTTTGTGTTTTCTCAGATAATATTTCTGCTGATCAGCCTCACCTCAACCCTCCGTCTTCATAAAATTCAGTTTAATGGAACTCTTTGATTGCAGTCTAATCTATATGGGAGACTTCTCAGAAGAGTTCACATGTCTAAGATTCGGTGACAGTTATGTTTCAAATTTCAAAGGAATCAAAGGGAGCCATTTGGCTGACTTCCACTAAATGTCACCAAGATTTGGATGCAWAACTCCTTGAGCTGGCTGGATACTCTGGTTTGAGCCTATTAATGATCCTGAGCTGTAGCCCATTGCAGAAAAGGAATAATTTTCTTTGTGCACTCTTTGGCGGCATCTGGGCCAAAATGCCAAAGTGGAAGGTCTCTCAGGGGGGAGACCCACCCAAGGCTGAGTTCTGGTGGGAGAGCTTACCTTCATCCATCTGTGCTCGTGCATGTATCCACGTGTTCCCRCAGCCATCCTGCCTTGCTGCAGCTGTCGTGGCTGTCCCAGGTGCAGAAGTGTGTTCCGTTGTCCCCAGTGTCCCATCCCAGGTGGGCTGTCCCATCAGCAGCAAGCACCGAGTGCTGTCTGGGTGCTGCATGGCACTGAGCCCTAGACCAGAGATCACCACTCAAGTGCCCAATAGAAACATCTAATCTCAACTGGTGGGGGAAGAGAGAGAAAGAGTTTGCAGCTGTGCTYCTGCCCAAAGCTGTTTGTGGCAGAGTGGTGCATCACATGACTCCMAGCAGGTGATTGTTCCAAGGATTTGGCAGCCTCAGATATACAGAATGCATGTTGATGTTTGGTACCAACATTATATAAAAGCTGCTTGCACAAGCCCAGTAGCCAATTTTACAAGACGTGGAGAAAGACGCATCTTTTTCCAAGGGCAGGATTTCCTAATTGAAATATCTTCCTAGCCATGATACAATAACAATACTTAGCAGGCATGTAGTTCTTAACATCATCAGAGTGATGTACAAGCAGCAACTAATTAATCCTCACAACACCCCTGTGAGGCAAGTATTGCCATCCCATTTCACAGGTGGGGATGATGTGACTTTGGAAGGTCAAGTGACTTGTCCAGAGCTAAACAGTCTGCAATGGAGCTCATTAGCTCCTGGCTGACAGCCACTGCTCAATGTACTCGCCCAGCCTATTATTGTATTTTATTATGCAAATCCCCATGGAAATTACAAGCCCAAAGCARCCCACAGATCTAAACATGGTGCCTCAAATTTAAAAGCTGGGTCCATTTTGTTTGAAATCAGTTCTGGAGGCCTTACAGAAATTTCATTGGATTTTGGTTGGCAATGTCAAAAAACAGAGATTGTCACACCTGGAATTCTCCACTACTAACAGAGGTTGTGAAGATATGTGTTGGTGACTGTCCAGCTTTACCATTGCCTGTACAGGCCACCAAATAGTGCCAAGCTGGACAGGGTGTCACTGTGAGCAGTAAAATGACAAAGGAAGTCCAGCCTCAGTTCCTGCAGGTGTATATACAAGCAGTAAATGGAGACTGGTCTGTCTAGTCCTTGGAAGACTCTTTGGCCACATGGTTAAAGCTGGCAGAAGGGACAGACCAGGCAAGCCAGCCAGGTGCAGTCAACTGGGGTCTAATTCATACCTCAGGGTTTTTACAGTGCTGGCAAGCTTTGCTCAAATGCTGATGTTGTCCATGCAGACTGGCACTATTTGGATGATTCAGAATGCCAGCCAAGCCCTGTTTGGCTTGCACAACTGCAGTTCTTCCAGAAATTGCCAGGGATTTTGCTTGTGCAGGGAAAGGGAAAGATATTCACCGTGTAACATTGGACCTGGACTGGTTCTTGGCTCCGTGTATCGTGGACCAACCAGTGCAGTGCTAGTTTTCATGAGGGTGTCATCGTGCCACTGTGAGTTATTTACACTAAATCACCCTCCAGGAACTGGGTCACAACTTTTTCTTTCATGAATCTTGGCAGGGATCTCAAGGTTTACTAGAAGCTGAAGAGAGGATGTCTATGTACAACGCCAAAACCAACTGAGATGCAAAGGGAACTGGGCTCTGTGCCACTGATCAGTGCGTGGCGTGTCGGGCTCTGAAGATGATGGGATGGCACTTCGCTGCTTTGCAGCTCCAGCTGCTGCTACTGGTTGCCTTTTGCACTCTGAACAGGTGTAAAGGACAGCCCAGAGGCAAGGCACGGCAGAATCGAGGCCAGATCTTCAGCTGGTGTCAATCAGTGCCTCRGCTTCAATGGGGCTGCATCAATTCGCCTTAGGAAAGGGTGTAATGTGGGAAACAGAGATAAAGGAACTCATGTTCTAGCACCCTATATCCTATATAATTGCTTAAGTAAGAGCACAGCCCAGAACGGGTTTGCCAGATGCCAGGGTGGCACAGAGTCCAACCCGTGTTTCTCRGGCAGGTTTATACACCCGAAGGGAGGCTGGCTCTGGCCAGAACAGGCTCAGCTCCCACTCGTGGTACCAGGGCTGAGCAGGACGTGGCTGTAGGACCTGGGCACAGAGCCCATGTAGGAGGCCTTACCCATGGCTGCTGGGCTGTGCTGGGCCTTACCTTCATGTCTATTCTGACCCATGGGAGCTGGAGTGAAGCCAGCACAGGTCTGGGAGCTGGAGCAACAATTATRCCTTTGTTTTGTGGGCAGATGAATAGAGAGATAACAGGGAGTTAATGGATGGCAGCCCCTTCCCCCCTCCAATGTCAGTCCTATCACTCACCTCCTCCCCAGCAAAACAAGGCCTCGGGGACAGAGAAAGAGCACAAAGATTAAAACTAACCTGTTGCTTTGGAACTCCTCAGTGAAAGGGGCTGATAAGAGAGGACTGAGATCAGGAATCAGATTTCAGGGGTAACAAATGAATAACCAGAAAACGGAAGGATGCCGAAAGGGTTCTTCTCATYAGAAGAGAGCGAGGTGGTGAGCACGTTCCAACAGCTTCTCTTTTGAAAAGAAATAGAGGAAAGGTGTTTCTCTTGTGGCAGCTGCAGACACAAAGAGCTGYTCAGACCACTCTGCGCCCACCAAGACCCTGGAAAGATGAAAGCCCATCCCAGAGCTCTAGTGGAGCTTTGCAAGCTGTTAGTCGAGTACAGTTTCCATGCTGGCAGATTCCCGGGAGCTGTAAGCCCTACTGTTTTGTGCTCTGGCCGGGAAGCAATCAGCACTGGAAAAGCTCGGGAGTAGACAGGGCTCATGCAGCAGGCTCTGGCTCAGGCTGGGCAATGTGGTTTCAATTTAGGAGCTCCCCTCTCAAAGCCTTCATGAAGGCAGTCTGAATATAGAAGTCCGTATCTTTGCAGTGCAGAATTCTTGGGAAGATTGTCCCCACTTCTGGAGAGGAGTACGATTCAGCCAAAGAGGCTTCACAAAAACACTGCAACGATAAATTGCACACCTCTGCAGATGTCACACAGTTGTTGGAGTCACTGTGTGATCCAAGCTGTGTATTTCCCCTCCCAAGACATGGACTGTTCATGTATTCACAAATACAGTAGGAGAGAGGCAATCAGGGAGCTTTTCCTCTTTTCTTGGATGGCGAGGAATGGGATTGCATATGCTATCTTCCACCCCACTGGAGACTGCAGAGGGATATTTAATTTGCAGGAGGAAGGCAGAGAGCTATGGCTGTTCCAGCAAGTGCACAATTGACAGGCTTCTGCCCATCGTCAAAAGATCTGTCCAGAACTKTAGAAAAGACTAAAAACAGGCAAGGAAAGATCCTGCTATCTTTTCCATCCTACCTGGAGTGGGGTGAGCTGGGCTGGTTTTGATTCTGTGTTCGAGAATAAAGGTAAGCATGAGGAAAGAGAGGAGGAAAGTGCTGCCTCTGAGAATTTGTTTTGCCATTCCCAGCTGATGAGCCCATCTACTTGCTCACTCAGGCACRTAGTAGTTAATACAAGATTCTTGAGTGTAATAGTCTGGGGGCTCTGAAAAGGCAGCAGGTGGGAGCCAGATAAGCCAGTTGTGAAGGTAAACCTTGACAATTCCTTGGGTGACCATAGCCATCTCTGGCAGGGCTGTGGCCTTGGTTTGGAGTCCTGTCTGTGGCTGCTCTTGGGGCCAGAGAGTTCCCCTGAGCTAGCAACAGACATCATTGTCTTTATCAACCCTCACAGGGGTCCTTTAGCACACACCTGAGTAGTGTATAGTCTATAATTGCAGAGTTTTCTTCTTTGCAATGTCTGGATTTGGTGCCTGCATTATCTCCTGGTTTTATACCTTCAGCATCTCTGAGCAGACCTCAAATCTGGTTGGGGCCATCACAATTTCAGGGGTTTAAAAAGTTATAATGGCCATCACAACACTTGGGGAATAGTTGGAATATTAAACAATTTTTCTGGAAACTACTCTAAAGAATTTTTTGGCCTGGTTTGCATGAAAAATTGTCTTGCTACATTTTTTTTGTTAGGAAAAATTGTTCTGTATTATTTTTTTTACCACCGGTTATAATGGGACAAGAGCTCAGGTGAATGCAGTTATTTTGGTGCTAAAGTTACTTGCACCACACAACTTTTCTTTCCAGAAAGAGCTGTAGTGCTTTTCCTGTTCTAATATACTCAACAATATTCTACCTTTGTATGTAGATGAGACATTAATGGCAGAGACTTCATTGCAGCGTGGTGAGGGTGAGCAGGAAGGTAATTATAGTCTTGCTTTTTATTGTCCTTATATAATGCTACTGTGGATATTTTCCACCCYAGCTGTGGCTCCCAGCCTGCCCAGTCTTACCTTCCATTGTGGTGTGGGTTTTGGATCCCACAGATTCAGGGACACATGGCAAGATATCACACAATAGTTCATATTCTGCAGATGCAGACCTGTGCCTGCAGATTTTGTCTGCATGTGAAGCCAGGGATACTCCTCAATTTTCATAATCAGTTTTCTAGAGCCGAGACACAAAAACTGGATTCTTGGGAGCATCAGATTTTCAAGGATACTTGAAACCTGAACTTTGACTTCTCCCCARATATTGTGAGCAATGTTTGCACTCATGGTATATCAGATCTACATTATAGCATCAGCAGTCACTCAATAACTTTCAACTGTCCTGTACCTGCCTCCTGCAGAATCCCACCACTGTGAGTTTSACTCTTCTCTGGAAGAGCTTGGCTGGAGGTCAATGTGTTTCCTTTGGGCTCTGGGRTTTTGCTGGCTGGGTGGCAGTGCTGGCTGAACCTTGCCAGTGGGCTCAGCCATGTCGGGACCTTCCCTTTAGAATCATGGCAACTGTGGTCCTGGAAATCCCAAACTAACAAAGACATCCCTCAAGTCCTCTCAGCTGAGATTTCCRAGCAGGGAAGTCAAGGGTGGAAAAAGAAACTTACAACAGCATTTCTTAGGCTGTGTGTTATTCCTCCCCAGCAGATCTTGACAAGTTCTGCAAAATTACTTCATAAAATCTCTCCCTGAGGTGAGAGTATTCTTGCACCCTGAAGAAGCAGAAATCTCTGCTRGAACTTAGTAGGCATTTCACACCTGATTGAGTACTAACAGAAATATATAAGGAATATAAAAACAACCCGAAACGTGCTTCAGGGTTTCAACCCATGTCCACCAAGATACCATCAGGAATCTYACACCTGAACATGATTGCACATTTAGATCTTCTGTGATTCCTCAGGGAGATAAGGAGAGATAATAGCACTCATCCCATGAAAGAACTGGTAGGGCTATCAAACCTCTGTCTCACCACCTTCRTGATGCCGGGTCACAAATCCTTTTGTTAAATGCCTGTAGAAGAACTGGC